ATTCCACCTGGTTGATGCAGGGCTGATGATCAATGTTGCCTACCCTCCTTTTCTGGGAGAGAAGAGAGACATTGACCTCATTATTGTACTGGAGAACAGCGCTGGAACAATGTTTGAGGTAAAGAGTGTGCATGTTTGGGCGTGTGTGTTCCTATACATTTCAGCCTGAGGCCTTGTTTTAAAACATGGGGTAACTAATAACCATATAGGTAAATATATTTGATAAAATCTGTCATTTCAGTTGATTGTTGGCTCGTAAATAGAACTCACCAATAAGCCTAACCCTGCTCTGCACATGTATACACAGTATACAACAAAACTGAGTAGAGTGCTGTGCAATGTCAAAAAATGTTTGACGATTCAAAATTCAAAACATTTTTACATTTTTATGTAAAAAGTCTAAATGTTAAAACGTTGACACTTTACACTTAATTGGATAAACAAGGTTTTTAAAGTCACCTGTGAACACCACAGCGTCTTCAGAGTTGAGTTGTTACAGAGCAGCTTGAACAGGTAAGAAACAAGGCATGTACATTCTTAAAAGTACTCCAGAGCATCTGAACTCAATTTTTGTAGCAGCCCATGGTTGGATTGGCAGAGGAATTAAGCCTTGGACTTGTCTACTTATTCTTCCTGCTTATTAAAATGAAGGCCTCAATGTTCATCTATGGAAAGAGAAAATTCTCATATTCCTAAAAACAAACCTCATAGGGTTATCTGAATGGCATTGTCAATCAATCAATTATATTTCAATTAATTCCTCATGACCCATTAAAGGGGCACTATTCTAGTCAGAGGACCCAATAAAGTTAAGGACTAAGTCAAATCTATTGAAAGAATGGAGCAGCAGGGGGCAAGATATTCCAACCTGTACTTACAAGTATGAATAGATCAGGCTAAAAAACACAGGGTCCTCATAATGCATTTTAATAGCCTCTTTCTGGCCAGCAAATGTTCAAGTCTGCCCCCAGTTTATAATGCAGACTTTGTTATAGCTGTGTTGTCTCCAAGCCCAGTCTGAGGTAACCCCAGGTTAAATCATTCAGGGTTTAACAAAGTCTCTACCCTTAGGAAATCATACAGTTTTCACAGGCTGAGCACTATGAATGATCAAAGGTAAAATGATCTTAATATTAAAAATGCTTGAAATGATTTTTTAGGAGAACTGAAAAAGGACAGTGGGGAGCACAGAGAGAGACAACTGAAGTCAGGTGTAACACATTTGGGTGGTGAGCCAATCAGAGGAGTGAGAAACAGGACAAAGACAAGTACATTAAAGGAGAAGTTGGTTTTTTTCAACCTGGTCCTTATTTCCAGTATATGGTATGTAGATCTACCCACCCATAAAGGTTTGGAGTAACTTGGAGTCCTTTGGACGCTTTTAGATCCACACGCAATCGGCGTATATCCATACAATGCAACTGTCTGGGGCATCTACAATACAGCCTCTAAATAATGCATTATCTGCTGCGAAACTCTTTATTTACTATGAATCGCCAGCACTAGTCCCTGTGAGTCTCGCTAGCCTTGGAGAAGATTTCTCAAAGAAAACCAAAAGTCCTCTGTTGACATTAAAGGTCCAGAAAGACAAAAGTTTAAAGTCCATACAACAGAAACTCTATTCCAAACTAGCTCCAAAACAAGTCCAAAAAAGTCTTGAGGGCAGAATAATAACATTATGACAAAGTGGTACCTGTGGTTTATGAATTAAAGGATAGTTGAGTTATAACAATTCCTCATCTGTCATTTGTTGACCACTCAACAAGTTCAAGGATGTAAAACCGTGTGACACTGGTGTTCGCTCCTGCGTTCTCCTCAGACTCTGACTCTGGCCAGAGAATATGCTGCGGAGTTAAAGAAGCCTTTCCCTGAGATAGACGATAAGGTCCTGGAGGAGAGAGAGTGGCCAAAGGACTGCTACGTGTTTGAGGGAAAAGAGAAGGAGCCTACAATCGTGTACATGCCGCTCTTCAATAGACGGAACTGCCACGGTCTGTGACGCACACATACACACACATACACACACTTAATGATTTTTCCTCTTTGAGCCAGAACTGCTTCTAAATATGATTTCAACTTCAGTGGACAGAAACAAAGATGAGCTATGTTTTCATGATGCAGTATGGACAGTTTTTTTTTCCTGTGTTAAATGAAATGGCTTCTAGATTTAATAGGTTAGCACAAATGAAATGTTACAGAGCATTGTTATGAATGTGTTTCTCTCTTGGGGCCACTGCTGTATATTCCAATGTACAGTGTATTATATTTGTGTAGCATAGGAACAGGAGCAGTGAATTATTTGTTTTGACAATACCTTTTATCAATCTGAAAGCATTTCTCTCAGTGGAAGTCAAGATTGATTTCACATTAATCCATAAATATGAAGCTGGGGAGAAAACGAAGACCACACAAAATAGCATTTGGGGTTGTGTTTGTGATATTTCAGCCTCAGTGCTAATAATCACATGGCAGCTTGTCAGCATGCAAAAATGGAGC